AACCACACCAGATAAAGACGGAACAGAGCTGAGAGAGCAGAATATACATTTATTTAAGAATCTGGAGATCAAGATCCCTTCTGAACTATCGAGGAATACAAACGCATAGTCCAGTCATTGTATTTTTATGGCTCACAGGAAATACTCAGGTGAGATTCCAGACCTATATCTTCATATATTTGGTTTTTCTGACTACTCTCATCTTCTCCAACTTCCTCATCTCCCATGAAAATATTTATCTGTGGGCTCATAGCCGAAATGGTGGCCATGCAACTGGCATTTGGAAATACCATGTCACAATCATTCTCTCCGGTGGATTGCTGTTGTTCTGATTTCTCTTCTCTTTTGTCGCCAGCAGCTGCTTTTTCCGCCGCTGCCCTTTTCTCCTCCTGGCGCATGTCTTGGTACACCTGATGCATGATAAACTGTGTTGTGTTCCTAGGGGCACGCATTCCTGGTGCCCTCCATCCACACAGATTCATGGGGCGCAGTCTCCCCTTTACAGCTGCATGCATAAATGCTAACAAACGCTGGCTCTTCCGCTTCCGATTACGGCGGTGACTTCTCCCAATCCTACATCTGGATTTCCACTGGTGACTTGCACACCAATGCTTTGCTTTCTCCTTCTTAGGTGATCTTTTCTTCTTCCAATAGCCTCCCCTTTTCTTCCATGGTCTACCATTCCCAGAGAACGTACCGTTCTTCCGTTCGGAAAAGTGACAAGCTTTGGGCTTCTGCACTTTGGTATCGTGATGGCTACCGTGAGACACTCCTGGATCACTTCTTTCACCATTTTGGTCCCTTCTTCCCATGTTGGGCCATTGTTTGGTATATCCTAGTTGCAGAGACAGCTGCTGATAACACCGCCGTCCCTGTCTCCACATTTCAGGAGATAATTGGGAAGCCTCTTCCAAAAAAATACCTTTCCAACTTTCGTTTTTCCCCTCCCTAGGAGTTTCTCCTTCCACAGCAGCCACTGCTTTTGCTGTTAGTTCTGTATTGTGTGGTTTGTGCCTTCTGCCCGTAACCAGCTGGGCACACACTCCTGATTTTCCAGTACTTTGTTTTCCTGGTCGTTTTCTGTTGCTCCCTCTTTCTTTGTGGCTTTGGTGCCACTGCTCGTAATACAATGAGACCCCGGTGTGAGATGCTGCTTTGACCCAGATTCAGTGGGCCATAGGTGTCATGCCACTAGGGGTGGTAACTTCCTTTCCTCTTGGGAGCCTTGTATAGATTGAATAAAGCATCGTCATCACCCTAGGCAACAGGGAACCAATCATAAAGCAATGGGTGGGGCTGTAACTGGACATTCCACCAGCTTTTAGCAGGGTGGGGCTGTGATAGGTGTTCTTTTGAGAGCAGCTCTGTAGAATCAAAGACTCTTGTCTTCTTTAGGCTCCAGGGCAACTGACTCCACACAACTGTCATGGTAGCCATGTTGGCGTGCATCTTTTAGCCAGACATAGCTTAAGGCAAATACTATTTTCAGATACCCCAATCCAGTGTAACAGTAATCAATAAAGACTGACCTGTGCCATATGACATATTTAATGACTTCAACATAAGCTGTTACCAAAGATTAAGTAATGAATCAGTTCTACTTTTCAGAACAGAAGGCTGAAAAACAAACCCATCTCATGATTTCCCTGTCCAAATTACACAGGGATGATGTGAATAAACTGTCCATGACCCCATATTTAATTTTCTATATCTGCCATATATATATATATCAGATTTCGGGACAGTTCCTACAAATGATGCTTGGGTAACAGTCAACATGTTTCTATCTACCCAAACTACTGATGCAGTAACACTTAACATTCTGTTTTGTGCAGAATGTCTGGGCCCACAAACTGCTAAATATCTTAATGCTCATATGGATTTTATAGCTAGAAACTCTGTTTCTTATAAATGTATGTATTTGTTTATAGTTAAATTTTAACAGAGCACACCCTACAGAATATGCCCTTCTTCCAGTTTATCAAAAGGTTAGAGGCAGAAGAAGCTAACTTTTAAATACCCAAAGGATTAACTACACACTGCAATCAAATACATATAACCAAACCCTGCTGTCCTTTTTATGTCCAGAACAGCCATATTTTTTTTTGGGGGGGGGGTGACTTGGAGCAGACAAGTAGCAGGGAGAGGGTTCTCTTAACCCTTTCCTTTCCCAGTGCTACTCAGCTACAAGTAGGTCTGCTCCAGCCGGTTTTTCGGCGTCTTGACTATAAATGTGCTTTGATCTATGCATGGAGAAAGGCTTCAGGGCAGTTTGTAGCAGAGACCTAGCAGGCAGTATAAGGGCTCCTGGGCCCCTCCTGTTCCTCCCTTCCAGTTGTTGTTGTTGTGGTTTGTTGTTGTTTTTAAGAAAGCTGGTTTGGATTCAGTTTCAAATGTCTCTGTGTAATGTGTAGTTAGGTCTGGAGCAGAATATAAAATAATTCCCTTTCTCAGTTATTGTATGGCATTCCAATTTGGATACAAGCATTTAACAGAGAAGTTGAACAAATTCAAATGACTTTTCTTCTTAAGATCCATTGTGACCCTAAATGCATAAGTTACTTAACCCTATGTGTTGAAACTGGTCAACATCTGATGGAAATCAATGCATGGCTCACTACAATCAAGGCATGGCTGAAAGTCCACTTTAGAACAACATCTAACTCCTTCTTAACCTCTATGCTTGAAGACCTGGATGGTATAGAGCAATTCAAGATAAAATCCATAGTTTGGGCATTGCTCTTGAGAGCCTTGAAGCATGTGACGAAAGTTACATATTCCAAATAATCAAACAGCGACTCTGCAACCATGAAAGACAGCGCTTGTTACCTCATACTCCGAGATCCTATTCTCTGGAGGCCTTAGGTATTACAACACCCTACGGAACCTGTGCCAAATATCTAAAGGATCTTCTACTCCCTTCCCATTGAAGAGCCTTTATGCTCGCGAGATTAACTGCCTTCCCCTCTGTAGTGACCAAAGGTAGATTCTCACATGCCCCATATCAAGCCCATTTGTGTGCCTGCAACCAAGAAGTACCTGATTCAATGGACCACATTCTCTTAGATTGCTCTCTACACAGTAGACCTCGCCAACTGATACTGAGCAAAATGTTGGACCTCCGGCCTGTAACTCTGAGAAGAAGTCAAATGAGGTTTCTCCTGACAGATCAGGACAAAGATATCCCTGCTTTAGTAGCTTCCTTTTTAGCCACTATTTTACCCGAAAGGGTTCCCAATGAACCATCCTTTCAGGGAACAGACAGGGCGAAGCAGAATATCTAAGTGCACACGATCACAGTGTGACCTTATGACCCTTGACAGCTTCACCCTTGTCCTTTTAATTATCCCTGTGACCTGTAATGTTTTAGATTGTGATGCCAATAAAGGTCTTTGATTTGATTTGAAAAAATAACTTAATGAGATCCAAAATTGCCACAATATGATCAGAAACACTTCTGTTCATCCCAGGTTCTTTTCCCCTGACTCCCACATTGCTCCGCATCCCGTTGTACACCATCCCATGGCTTTCTAACGTGTTTCCCAATCCTCAGGATTAGCTTCCAGGGGGAAAGGAGGGGCTGCAGTGAGACAGGGTGTGTGTGTTGAAAAGCCCCATCATAAGCAGAATGTTGCCATGGAGCTCAGGATCCAAGTTTTTGTGTTTATGCAGGTAACCAAGCCTATCAATAGTCTATTGATATGTATGCAATAAAGTAAGGTAAAGGTAAAGGGACCCCTGACCATTAGTTCCAGTTGTGGCCGACTCTGGGGTTGCGGCGCTCATCTCGCTTTATTGGCCGAGTGAGCCGGCGTACAGCTTCCGGATCATGTGGCCAGCAGGGCTAAGCCGCTTCTGGCAAACCAGAGCAGCGCCCGGAAACGCCGTTTACCTTCCTGCCGGAGCAGTACCTATTTATCTACTTGCACTTTGACATGCTTTTGAACTGCTAGGTTGGCAGGAGCAGGGACTGAGCAACGGGAGCTCACCCCGTCATGGGGATTCGAACCGCTGACCTTCTGATCAGCAAGCCCTAGGCTCTGTGGTTTAACCCACAGCGCCACCCACATCTAGGGTTTAATCTATGGCTCAGCTGATGGGGCTAAACCTGCTCCTTCATTCATGGTGGAGAGGGTTATCAATGGATACTTCCCATGATGGTTATGTTCTGCCTCCACAGTCAGAGGCAGAAATGCTTCTGAATACCAGTTATTCGAAACCACAGTATGGGAGAGTGCAGCAATGCTCTAATTCTGCATGCACGTTTTCCACAGGCATCAGGTCAGCCACCGTGAGATCAAGATGCTGGACTAGATGGGCCATTGGTCTGATCCAGAAAGCTTTTCATCAACACCTGCAGGCAGTCCTGTTCAAGGAAGTTTTTAATGGTTGGTGTTTTATTGTGCTTTTAATACTTTCTTGGGAGCCGCCAAGAGTAGCTGAGGCAACCTAGTCAGATGGGAAGCATATAAATATTATTATTAGTTATTAATTTCCCTATGTCATCAAGGCCAGGTGGCAAATTTCACCCCATAAACATTGGAATGCTGCACCCTTTTGCTTTCTCAGATAAAAGGCTGCTACTCACTCTTATGAGAAAAAAGCAAAACACTGCATTCTCTTGGAAAGAAACCAAAGTACCATTCCAAACTATGCCGAAAGTTCAGCTTCAGAAACTTGGCCATTAAATAAAACAAAGGCTCTGCTTCTAATATGTTCCTTCATTGATTCTTATCAGCGTGACTGAGAAGAATGACCATTTGAAAAGATAATGAATTATCTCCTTTCATTCTCTATCAGTACAGGAGCTGTCCCAAATTCAGACACAGGCTTAATTTCCACCTTGCCTAGCTTGATTCTCCAGACACTTTAGGGAAGCTAAAAAGCATGAGAGTTCTGTAATCCTGATACACAGAAGCTTCAGCCAGAATTGCTAGATAACTTATCAAGTCTGTTGTTAAAGAGCACCCAACTTTAAATACACACACAAAATACAAATATGAGGATTTGACAAGCTTTATTTATAATATCTCAACACATGATGGCAGTAGTACTCTTTAAAATGGCGATACCAATGCAAGTAAATTATCAACATTCTAAGAACCTGATATTATTTGCAAAGATTTTTTTTTAAAAAAACAAATAAACCAGAGGTTGGCTAAATTTCCGAGTATTTGCCGTCTTAGTTGCTAGTAAAAAAAGATCAACAGTTGTTGACAGAAACCACATGGATAGGAAAAGGAGAGGTCTAAAGATAGATGCATGTGGCTCCTATCATTTCTACTGCAGATATGCGTGCAAGTGTGGCTCTGACTTTAATCTGCACCCTGTATTAAGAAGCTCAACTCTTACAGCTGAGGTAATAAACCTTTTGGGCTGAAGGCTGCATTGACTCATGGTCAACCCCTCCAGAGACTGCATGCCAAAGTGCAGGTCGCCAAGACGTAAACGAGTGTGATGATTTTTTCTTTTCTAAAGAAAACTCCGAGGGTTCCCATGCTTTTTATAGTTGGGTGACTATAGGATCAATCAGTTAATATGTATTAATATATACATTAAAGTATTGTTTTAAAATGTACCGGGACTGGCTTAGAGGGCCACAAAAAAGGCATTTGTCATCATGGCATCGAAACGGGATCCAAAGAAGCCATTAAAAAATGTACATGGCAAATTGTGGGAGGCAGGTCTTAGTAGGCTACAACTCTTGGGAACCAGTTGTAGATCATGGGCCATGGATTAGACATCCCCGTCTCACAACAAATAGATAGCAACACTTGTGATATCTCGATTGAATATTAACAAATATTTGCCCTTGAAAAGAAGCCCCTATTTTGACCATTTTTAAGGGAGTAATGAAAGGGCCACAGAGAATAAATGCTGGTCCTGTGAGCAAGTACCGTTAACTATATAGCTGCCCTCTATAGCAAGTAGGACGCTGGCCTATATGGAGCTTTGGTTTCATCCAGACAGGACTTTTGTTACATTTTTATGAAAAAAAATTATGGAAAAGCTTTACATATAGAATATGATTAAAAAGAAGGTAGCATGGGTCATTTTCTATTTATATACAATTCTTATAGCTTTACTATTACAATTTTAATGTGGATAAAATTATGAACCATGTATCATTAATATTCAGTTTCTCTAATACTTATTCATTCCCTTCTCCTTTCATCATAGTTATCATGTCAGCTATTCTGCACTGATTACAATGCACTGGTTACAATATGGAAGCAGGGTATACTTTAATAGAGAATGAATTAGTATTCAGCACTGTGCGTTACTGACTGCAACTGTTTACTTATTATTTTACACCAATACAACCATATCATACTGTCACAAGCTTTTGAAGCAGTTTGCTTTAGAAAGCATACTTGCAAAAGAAATTATGTTACATGACATTTTCACTATGGCCTAAGCCTAAAAAAGGCTCCCAACAGGCAGACGGGGTAGACACATGTAGGCATGAGGGGTTTTGCTCAGATTAATGGGATTGCCATCTAGCCTGATGTCTTCGAGAGATTTGCGGATGTAAGAATAATCCTTCATTTTGCAGAAAGTATCTTCATGCATTTCTTGTATATTGTTGTTCTAAAAAGAAAACAAAAGATTTATTAAAGCCAGTATTTAAAATTCCAATTTAAATGTCAGTTTGTCAACAATAACCTCATAATTAGTAATAGCGTGCACTGGATTTGGATAGATCCTGGGGCCAAGCAGGATGCCTCAGAGGAATTTTGGTTTTTTTAGAGGTGAAGTGGGATATCAAAGAGGCACAAGTCAAAGCCCTAGGGCTTTGTGATGGTCAGATGAGAAATTGAATCAATAATAATAATAAGAGCAGGGAACTCTGAGTGTCTGGAGGCAGCTGGCAGATGGATGGCAGCTGACTGGTTTAGGTTCAATCATGACAAGACAGAAGTATTGTTTTGGGGGGACAAGGGGCAGGCGAATGTGGGGGACTCCCTGAAAAACCAGGTGCGCAGCCTGGGAGTCATTTTGGACTCACAACTGTCTGTGGAGGCGCAAGTCAATTTGGTGTCCAGGGCTGCTGTCTACCAGCCCCATCTGGTATGCAGGCTGAGACCCTACCTGCCCACAGACTGTCTCACCAGAGTGGTGCATGCCCTGGTTATCTCCTGCTTGGACTATTGCAATGCGCTCTACATGGGACTTGAAGGTGACTTGGAAAATATAACTAATCCAGAATGTGGCAGCTAGACTGGTGACTGGAAACAGCGGCCGGGACCATATAACACCGGTCCTAAAGGATCTTCCCTGGCTCCCAGTACACTTCAGAGCACAATTCAAAGTGTTGGTACTGACCCTTAAAGCATAGCTATCAACTTTTCCCTTTTCTTGCGAAGAATCCTGTTCGGAATAAGGGAATTTCCCTTTTTAAAAGGGAAATGTTGATAGCTATGCCTTAAAGCCCTAAACGGCTTCGGTCCAGTATATCTGAAGGAGCATCTCCAGCCCCGTCGCTCAGCCCAGACAGTGAGATCCTCCTCTGAGGGTCTTCTGCTGGTTCCGTTCCCTCACTATGAGAAGCTAAGTTACAGGGAACCAGGCAGAGGGCCTTCTTGGTAGTGGTGCCCTCCCTGTGGAACGCCCTCCCTTCAGATGTCAAGGAGATAAAGAATTACACAAACTGAAGGCAGCCCTGTATCAGGAGGTTTCTAACACTTGATGTTTATATATATATTTTTAAGATATGCTGTAAGCTGCCCAGAGTGACTGGGGAAACCCAGCCAGATGGGCAAGGTATAAATAATGAAATTATTATTTATTATTATTTTGTGGCACCTTAGATATCTAGACATCAAAATAATGCTGCAGACAAATATCTGCTGCAACCAGATATTAGTTTTTCCCAATGCTCCATGTATGTGGTTCCACTGGTGCAATAGGACCTCCATTTTCTCTCCACCTCTTGCATATACCAGAATCTGATCTGGAGGGTGTCCTCCCCGCCTCCAAGCTGATTTTGTGGGAAGGTCGGAGGGTAGCAGGATGGGGACACACTGGGGACACACAGTGTAGCAGGATGGGGCTACACTGCACACACTGATGTCTGTTGCGTCAGGAAAGCTGAAACACTGGATGTGGCCCAATGTGTTTAAGTTTACCCACTATGTTGGGAGGATGGGAGGAGGGAGAACATCAGGATTAGAGAGACCACAGAGGAGGAACTCTGTTGTGACTGACAGGTCTAGCTTGTTATCAGAGGGCATGATTTTACCATTGTCCACAAGCCCCGTGATATGGGGGGGTAGGGGGAAGCAGCTTTGCAAGACCATATGTAAGCTGTGTCTGTGAGTACCTTTTGTCTTGAGTAAACCATGTTGAGTGATTAGCATCATGGACTGATGAAGCTTGCTGTGAAACCTGGATAATATCTGGAGAACAGGTCTCATCTATTTGGTTTCAATTGATCATTTGGCTTTGCGTTTCCAGCTAACCACTTGAAGAACGCCTTCTGGCAACCACTCCTACATTTATTGCGTTGTGCTTCCAGTGAACGACTATTTGTTCCAGCTGTGTTATGACATATTTATTGCATACATAACCAGTACAGCAATGAGAGAGACACGGGTACATTCTATGTTTATGAATATCTCCATGCTTGGTTATGCACATTGCACTTTAGTTTGCCCATTGTCTAGTTGGTTTATGAGGGTATATATTAATTCCAGTAAAATTGTTCTTTATATTCATAAGCCAGTTCTGGTGTCGTTGGTTTGTTGTTCAATTATTGTTATAACACCTGATACTTTTTGTGTATACATATGTAATTTATGTCTCCAAATTTAAGAAAAGCACGAGGATGCGGAGGGGGAGAGAGAGCACCTTTGTAACCAATGGGTCCAACTTCTAACAAGAGGAAATGATATTTAGTTCTTCCTAGCACAAAAGCCCCTGAACCTATTTGTATGAAATTTGGCACACTTCTTATCCAGTAAACACTATATCCAAAAGAATTTATTGATTGTTTTAGCCCACCTGCAGATGAAGAGACTGGAGGCTTTCAGGGAGTGGAAGTGGGATATGATCCAAGTTGTTATCAGTGATGTAAAGATGGTGCAAGTCAAACATATCCTGAAGAAAACAAAAAAATATTATTATTATTATTATTATTATTATTATTATTATTATTATTATTATTATTATTAAGTGATTTCTTTGTTCTCGTTCTGAGCCACACATGAGTACAGACACTTAAATTCAGCCAATCATTTTAAACATCTGTACCAAGATTGATTCTTTTTAGAGATTCAATGAATGTCAAAGCTCCAGTTGTGTGGAACATTCGGCTTAGTGGTTTTATTTGCTTGTTTTCAGGTTTGCAAAGCCTGGCTACTTCAGGCCATAAGACTGAGCTTGACCTCACTGCAGTTCTCTCTTTATCACTGCACAATTTCTCCGTTGTTCTCAGAGCACGGAATACAGAATCATACCATGCAGCCATACAGCTGCCACCTTACTCTGACAGTGACTTAATGCAAGGTATTTTTTTTCCATTTGAGCATTAAATTTGAGTACAAAAATATGGCTTCTGTATCAGTTTTGATGTATATGTGCATGGCACAGGTTGCTTAAAAATACATGCTAGTGGCAAATTTTGATTTTAAAAAAATGTTTTGGTTGTTTTTACTGATAATGTTATTGTTTTATATTTGTAAACTGCTTGGAGCTTTTTCACAATCAAGCAGTGCACAATAAAATAAAATAAATAAGAGGAAAATAATATGTGCCTAATCCATGATCCTTTCTACATTGACCTTAGGAATTAAGCCTCTGCCACCATGTTGTTTTGCACTGGAAGAGCTATCTCACATCACTTTATGAGAGAACTCCCTCCTGCTCTTATAATGACTCTTTTTATTAGTCAAATAGAGGGATTTTTTTTTCCCAAATTAGTCAGCAGTTAAATACAGAACTCACTTTAAATGCTTCTTGTCTGATTCCTTTGCGACCAAGCCTGTTGTTACTAATATCAATGAATATCAAGGTTGGTGGTAATTCTGGAAGCTGCCTTATCTTGTTATCTCGAAGTATCAGTTCCTGAAGTTGTGGTAGTTTCCTGAAGGCATCTTCATCAATTTCAGATATAAAATTTGAAGTCAAGTCAATCCTTTTTAAGTTGCCTAGTCAGGGAAAACCAAAGCGGGGGAAATAATTACAGCATTTCTGCCTGCTTTTAAAGACCAACACCAGGGGTGGGGGTGGGGAGGACAGACAATCACCATTCTTTGGATGCAAATAGTTCCGAATTATAGTTCACAATATGATATTATGTCCAGAAGATGTATGCTACTATGCACTTATCTTTCAGTATGAGAAAGTACTTTGCATTGCATGCAATAAAATAAAGTGTAGTAACCAATAGTAAAGTCATCCATACTTAGGTTAGCAAAGTCATCCCTGTTGACCCTTTTGATTCTGTTATAGCGAGAGTAGAAATGTGTGGTTTCCTTCGGCAAGGGGGGAAGATCTTCGAGTTCACGATCATCACAGTAGACAGAAGTACTTAGGCACATACACAGAAGACAGGTTGGGAGGCCTAAAACGTGAAAGAAGAAACCATCCACTTAGTTATACACTTGTAAAAATTTAGATTCGCCTTGTTCAGAGAGACATGGAATGACTTCTGTCAAATCTAACCTGCTGCAAATTCACACAGAGCCATACCATCCTCCAGAGCCACACGGTCTAAGTATCTTGCTGAACCAGTTTATGGTTCTGTTTGAGATTTTGAAAAGCATTTGGCTCCTTTTATTCTAGTGGTTCTAGGCTTAGGCTCATGTGTAGGTATCTGAGTTCTCATGAATAACTTTCCTCTTAGTGTAGCAGAATAATCACCCGTCATGCACTTTTGATAAAAGTTCCACATTTACACTATTTCTGGAGTAATGCATAGTGATATTTTTCAGATATTGGGAAACATTATATTGAATATTTCATGCACTTTGTGTTACGCCATTCAAAACTGGGTGCACATGCAAACATGTGTACAGTATCAATGCTCCCATTTTTTGCCCTTAATATTTATTTTAAAAGTTGCAAACCACGCTTTTGTAAATTTACAATTAAATGAAACAAACACACAAGAAGTTATTAAGTGGATTTATTACTGGAGGCAACGTGGCTGTTCAAAATCAACAACTTTGAAAGACTCAGTGTAATCAAATCAAGTGGATTCCCTTGTATATTAGATTGGTCTGGATATGAAAATTGCTGCTTGAATAATCCTAGTGATTCACTACATCTGTAATGTTTTATAGGAAATAACTCTTATGAATAATGGAGCATTTTGTCCATACTAGATTTCTCAAGTCATAGTCAGGATGATATCTTCATTTTATATTCTACCTCCAGGATCTGTGTCTTCCCTTTAAAACTTAATAAACCTGCATACATTTAGTTTGGTAACCAGCATGCTTTTTTGATATTTGAGGAAATTGGTTTCCCCCCCCCCCAATGAGACCTCAATTTCCTTAGAATTGTTTTTAATTAGCATCTTTCATGCAGAACAATGACATCAGGAAAGGCTTCAACCAACCCTTGAGGAAAAACTGCTTGAAAGCTGTAGATTATTAAATAAAACATCAAACTACTGCTGAATGAACATAAGAAAATGATCTAAAGCATTTAAACCAATTTATGAAAGGGCTTCATTAACAGGTATGTGGATGTAATTGGGAAGAGCTCTGCATTTCCCTATTGCCTTCTGAAAAAGGAGGTGGGATTGAGAAACATCACAAATATTTATAGAAAATAGAACATAATGGTGCAAAATGACGCCATTTTATATGTCTAATGCTGTTAATGTGGGTGTTTAGGATAGACTGGAAAGCAATATTTAACATTACTGGTTAACGTTACTGGATTCTTTTTAGTGGGATTTGGAGTGTTTTCCAGAAGTAAGGAATTCAGGGCCTCCCACCTCCCATGTTGCTCGAGACCTAAAGCCCCATTTACTCCACTGCCCTTGCTTCTGCTAGTCTCTTTTCCCTTACTGTTCCTAAGCAGTGACTGGTCGCCCCTGAACCTGGTGTGAGGCAACCTGTGGTCAAGGAGGTTATGTAGGCGGGGACCAATAAGATCACGTGAGTGGGACTAAGGAGGTTACATGGAAAGAGCCAAATTGTTCTGGGCCTGAAACCAGACTAGAATCTGTTTCTTACAGGTCTAAAAGGTAAAGGGACCCCTGACCATTAGGTCCAGTCACGGCCGACTCTGGGTTTGCGGCGTTCATCTTGCTTTATTGGCCGAGGGAGCCAGCGTACAGCTTCCGGGTCATGTGGCCAGCATGACCAAGCCGCTTCTGGTGAACCAGAGCAGCACACGGAAACACTGTTTACCTTCCCGCTGGAGCGGTACCTATGTATCTACTTGCACTTTGATGTTCTTTCGAAATGCTAGATTGGCAGGAGCAGGGACCAAGCAACGGAGCTCACCCCATCCCTGCAGGTATTTAGCCACCACACTCTCAACCACATTGCCCAGGGAGGAAGTACTAGTATAATTATACTAATTAACCTAAAATTTAGTGACATTATTTTAATTAACATACAACCAAGTTTTAAGGCTTGTTTGACTTATAGGAGGGATCAATGTTGTGTTCTAGGGTGGAGGCTTTAGTTATTTCCTTTTCTCTAGCAACTGACATCTCACTGCTTGGCTCAACTCAGCTCAGCTTCTACCATAACTGGCAAAATAACACAAAATCAGCAATTTGCTTTTCAAAACTGGAAGAAAACAGGTTAGATTGCCCAATTTATCTGTCACTCTTGAATGTCCACACACTCATAAACCTGATAACTACTGTGGAAAGAACGCAGATTCATTCCCATACTTCTTTCCATCTACTAGTGGTAGTTATAACAGCACAACGATGCCTCCCCCACCCCCTGATCACTAGATAATTTAAGAAGTCTAGATGGTAAGGAGGCATGTTTGCATACTGCAAACCTGTATAAAAAACTGCATTACATATTCCCTGATGAAAAGGCTCCTTAGCTTGTGTTGGAATTATAGGCCCAAATCTAGACGAAGCAGAAAGTCAAAATCATGTCTCTCAACTCTCTCTTACAAACCTTCGTGTGTATGGGGACCAAGAACTCCTGGTCCATGAGGTGAAGAGCCATCAATAAGCTTAGGTGTGGATGCTTCTTCGTCGGGTTCTTCTGGCAGTGGAGAAGGTAAATAAATCTCTCGAGTTACAGATGGTACTACTGTTCCAATCTCTACCTAGGAGACACATACATATTAAAGCAGTTATGTGGTATCGGTATGCAATGTCGATTTTTATTATAATTTGCCGTATATTCAAGTTACCTGGACTTATATTAAAGGCCTGGGAGTCTCTGGTGAGGTTGGAGAAAGAATGTGTCAGTAAGAAAGCATTATTCACTAAATGCAGGCAGAATGTATGATGGGAAGACTTTTTCTGCTAGCTCAGAGGAAATGTGAAATATCCATATCACATACAAATTAGTACTTTTTACAGCAGGATATATCATTCACCATCTGGCTGCTGTAACCAACCACTCTAGGTTCACATACTTAAAAACCAATGTATCTTTGCAACCCAAATTGGCAGATAACCTGCAGTTTTCATGAAACTTGACACCTTAAGATATTGGGCAGAGGTCACCCTACAAGATTAAATGTGTGGTTTCTGACAAAAGCATCCCTACATGTTTGGGAGACTTAGAATAGCTCTTTGGTTTACGTAGTAAGTATCCAACACAGATTGGAAATAGTAGTTTCAGAATCCTATTTTACCAGTAGATGGCACATACTCCCTGGAACACAACAATATCAGCTTATTTTCTGTTCCATAACTCTACAAATTTATAAAATCGTACATTAACCCACTCTTCTTTAAAATTCACTTTAATTTTTCTTTTCAGTAAAGCTTTCTTTCTCATACATGCTAGATTGTTTTCTCTGGAGAAAGCTGGCAACAGATTCTATAAATTAGTAACATATTGCAAAAATAAAATAAAATCCTAATGGTTGTTGTTGGTGGGCTGGTTTTTTTTAATGGAATTGTAAAACTTTCTGTATTCTCAATATACTGAAATAAATTGAGTGAAGGACTGAGTTAATAAATCATTTGCTGGGTTTTTTTTTAGAAAAATCCCCCCAACTGTCTGAATGAACGTTTTCCATGTGTGTTTATGGGGACAACCATTGTTCAGAATTTCAGCAACAGTGCTTGCAAAGCTGCAAATACAAAGAACGTGGTTAAGAACCTGGACCACCTCTCCCCATATGAACCAACCCTGACCCTGTAATCATCATCTGAGGCCCTTCTTGGTGTGCTTCCTCCATGAGGGCCTGAAGATGGCACCACAAAAACAGATCTTTTCTGTGGTGGCTCCACATTAGTGGAATGCTCTCTCCAGGGAAACTTGCCTGGCACCTTTATTACATATCTTCAGGTGTTGGGAGAAAACATTTCTCTGTTACCAGGCCTTTGGCTGATCAACATTACATGGCCCTTTGAATATGTTTGTGGGAGGGTGCTTATTGGTTTGTTTTTTATTGTTTTGCTATGTATTCTGTGTTCTAATGTTATATTTTAATGTTGTGAACTGCCATGTGATCTTTGGATGAAGTGATAAAAAATATTTTAGGGGTCTGCGTAAGTTCTGTGTGCATGCTGAATAAGGTGAATTGGGGTTATTCCAGTCATGATTCCATGTTCCTGACCAGATCACATTATTAACAAGAAAGATCAGGGACCTAATAAGCTTCCATGTTTTTCCTGAGGTCTATTTTTTTTTAATTAGGGTGCTGGAGGAGACTCTTGAGAGTCCCATGGACGGCAAGAAGATCAAACCACTCCATTCTTAAGGAAATCAGCCCTGAGTGCTCACTGGAAGGACAGATCCTGAAGCTGAGACTCCAATACTTAGGCCACCTCATGAGAAGAGAAGACTCCCTGAAAAGACCCTGATGTTGGGAAAGATGGAGGGCACAAGGAGAAGGGGACGACAGAGGACGAGATGGTTGGATAGTGTTCTCAAAGCTACCAGCATGCGTTTGACCAAGCTGCAGGAGGCAGTGGAAGACAGGAGTGCCTGGCGTACCCTGGTCCATGGGGTCACGAAGAGTCAGACACGACTAAACAACAACAAAAAATTTTCAAGAAGTTAAACACATAAACTTTCCTCCTCTCCTTTCCTTTCTAAGAATCAAAACTAAGCTGACAGAGCCTGAGAGGTGAGGAGGGGTGTCTGTGTGTTTGTGTATCTCATGTTTTGACTGATAGAAAATAATTCACTGTGATTAAAAATTAAACCTAAGGTCACTCAAGTTGCAGTGATTAGGGAAGCGATGTTGAGATAAAAGAGAGAACACACCATGCAACAGAAGCTACAATTCCACATTGCAAGTACCCAATACCATCCACATAAAATGGTACAGCTTCAAGGAACCTTGAATGTTCTCTGGTCCAACCTCTTCTAATGCAGGCTAGGCACCAGTGAAGCATTCCACCTTACTTCACTTTACTCCTCACATGCACCTCCCTCACAGGGTTTTGATTAGTTTTGTAATCCTGAAACAGGGAGCAAAGAGGCAAAAGTCACCCCACCTCCCCCTTCAATAGATAACCTGGAATTCCTCTTCTTTGCAGAGAGCAGGAACCGCCACCATCAATGCCTTCTTTTGTGACTACGGAGCTAAGAAAGTGTTTTCGGGATATCAGTATCTTGATGAGATGAGATATAAGTTCTTGTCCCTCTAGGCAGAGTGACAAGGATAATGACTGTTATCATATGCGTGTCTCTAAAACACATTGTTCCCATCTGTCATTTTGAAAAGGAGACAGCTTAGACAAGAATGGACTTTGGGACAAATCAAAAGAAGACCAAAAGAACACAGGAAATCAAGGCAGATGTTTTCTTCATGGAGGAAGTCTAGAGGGAGGAACACATTCCAGACGTCTTGACCCAGCAGGAGCATTATGCAAAAGTGCTAACATATGCCATGTAAAAATATGGCAGCTTATCCACTTGAAGCAGCAGACATGATGAGCAATTTACTTTTGATCAAGGCCATATCAGAGAATATCATATTTTCTAAAATTATTTTTTAATAGTAATTGCAGCATGTTTAGAAAATACAATAGAGACTGATGAGCTTAGAAGAGTTTGGAGTTTGGATTTGATATCCCGCTTTATCACTACCCTAAGGAGTCTCAAGAAAGGGACGCGGGTGGCGCTGTGGGTAAAACCTCAGTGCCTAGGACTTGCCAATCGAATCCCTGTGGCGGGGTGAGCTCCCGTCTTTCGGTCCCAGCTCCTGCCCACCTAGCAGTTCTAAAGCACCCCTAAGTCCAAGTAGATAAATAGGTACCGCTTTATAGCGGGAAGGTAAACGGCGTTTCCGTGTGCTGCACTGGTGCCGGCTCGCCAGAGCAGCTTCGTCACGCTGGCCACGTGACCCGGAAGTGTCTCCGGACAGCGCTGGCCCCTGGCCTCTTAAGTGAGATGGGCGCACAACCCTAGAGTCGGACACAACTGGCCCGTACGGGCAGGGGTACCTTTACCTTTAAGGAGTCTCAAAGTGGCTAACATTCTCCTTTCCCTTCCTCCCCCACAACAAACACTCTGTGAGGTGAGTGAGGCTGAGAGACTTCAGAGAAGTGTGACTGGCCCAAGGTCACCCAGCAGCTGCATGTGGAGGAGAGGAGACGCAAACCCGGTTCCCCAGATTGCGAGTCTATCGCTCTTAACCACTACACCACACTGGCTCTCTCTTATAGAAGTGTTTTTACATTTAGGAACAGTGTAACAGTATGGACGTTAATGCTGTGCTTTTATTATGTTGGAAGCTGCCCATGGTGACTGGGGCAACCCGGTCAGAATGACAGGTTACAAGCAATATTTTTATTTCTCTCTCTCTCTCTCTCTCTCTCTCTCTCTCTCTCTCTCTCTCTCTCTCTCTCTGTTTTCAGCTTCCCAGGTAGGTGCACACAGAACTGAAGCTTCAATTTGTGATTCTAATTTTATCACTATGGCTATTTGTGTTAAAGATCTACATTTAGATAAAAGCTTTTGCAGCTCTTATGATCTTTTCTCTTTCTGAAATTTCACTTTATGGCAGCAACAACTCAGGGGACTTGGCTTGGTCTGGAAGAAGAGATGAATGACAAGGATTCCACTAGTATTCTGCAAAAATGTTAAATTAGAAAGTAATGCTGATATAAGGGATGCCAACTTAAATATGTGTGCGCACACCAATACTCTTTCATTTCTCACCTTATTCTGCTTTCTTTCTGCCTGTTCCTCTCACTTCTTTCCACAATGGCTCTTTGTTCCACATGCTTTCCCTCTCACAATACCACATGCATATATTTCTTTTCATAACTAAAGAAATCAAAATTTGCTAGGTGTACAGCCATGTTGTGGTGCATTGGTGTAATGGTGCAAATTCACACCAAAATCTGAAAGCAAACAAGTAAAGTCCTGATCTGAAAGGCAGGAGGCAATACAGTCTCTCAACAGACAGATTCAGCTGAAGAAATCAGAAAATGGAACATAAGGGATAATGACTCATGGATGTAGTTTCACACTCCTCGTGAATCCTTCATATATTCACCCTCTATGTGGCTGTGCCTTGGGCAAGAACTTGTATTTAATCCATCTAGAATGAACTGGGATGCTCACATTTCTGACATGACTCTTCCAAAGTTAAACACTGCAGAAGGCATTCCAAAAAACGAGAATCAAAGATGTGTTTCCTGACTGCTAAATCTTAAGCTTCACAAGGCTGTCAATAAAGTGATAGTTCTGGCTTTGTCTTTTGGGCATCAATCCAATGACAGGTGATTTAAAGCACTGATCAATATGCTACTATGCCATTTCACACAATGAGAACATGTGACCTGGAGGTTACAAGGAAAATCTGTTTCTCATTAGTTTTATCCTAAGCCATGCACTAGTCTGTCTTTTACATATTTGACAGCTCAAACAAGAGCTTAACAAGACAAAGATGTTGCTAGGTTCAATAATGCAGAAAATAGTTTTTTATCTTCCAAATGTTTGTTTTTGGCAACACTTGAAAAATCAGAAATGTGAGATTGTGATGGGGCAGAGGAATAGTCCATGTGATGTACAGTGGTGCCCCGCAAGACGAAATTAATTCGTTCCGCAATTTTTGTCGTCTAGCGAATTTTTCGTCTTGCGAAGCACGGTTTCCCATAGGAATGCATTGAAAATCAATTAATGCGTTCC